AAAATAAGATTACGTAAAATATTTCGTAAATCAAAGAAACGGGTAAACAGGCGAGACGGGTGGTACTCGTAGTTGGCTCATTGGTGATTTAGTACAAGTGTTGCCATCTATGCGTAAAAACAATCAAACAAGTACTCACGGTGGGCATAGCACGTACGTACACGCCATACCCAGCAGCAATGGGTTAAATCTCCTAACAGTGTACAAGGGATATTATTATCCCTTTTTTATAAAGTGTAAATTTAGTACAGCATGTGGATTGTTCTTGATATATACTGGCAAGATTTAGCTACCTTAGTCTGTATAAACAGAGGATCCCAGTAGTTACTGGTTGTTATTATGGACCAGAAAAATATAATATATTACAACTTGATGAACAGCAGTACACAATATCCCATGGGAATACCTTATAAAGAGGTGTAATGTGGACCAGGACCACAAAATATGCTCAAACATATAGTCTGTTATATACTCTTAAAATAGTACTTAAAAGAGTAATACCCACATTTTATCATAGAAAGGTTACTAGAAAAGAGAAGTGCAAAAGTCATATATAGTGAAACATGGTGAAGTCCAATTATTATGTATAACAGGAGTGGCCACCTGTGTGCGGCAGAGGACAGGAATGAGGGTCAGGTTATGCACAGGCTGGTGGGAGAGCCTCATTACCTTTTACATCAAACCTCTCATCTTCATTATCAGTCAGGTTTCTTGTGAAGGAATCTAAGGTGGTTAAAGGTGGGTGGGTGAGGATCATTGTGCATTCTATGTTCAATATGACACAGTAAAAAAAAATGAATGAAGGGTTGCCCGTTTCACTCTTGCATCATCTGATTTCAATATTTTTCAAAAATTAATAGAAAATCAAGCCCAATTGTCCTCTTCAGCATCCACTGCCAGCTCAGCATACACCACTTTTATAATTCTTAATTATTTCTATCTTATCTAGCACCAGCACATGTTAATGACTAGCTTTGGGTGGCCTTGCACAAGCATTTTCCATTAATGATTCAGCAGGTAAATATTAACACTCAACAGTGCCTGAAAGTAGGCCTACACTGGTGCAGCAGCCTCAGCTTATTTTGGTGGCTCGAAATAAGACATGTATAGATTCAGTTTATGTTACAAATTCTCTTGCAATGGCGAGGAGAGTACCTTCTTCCGAAGGACTCTGGTTCTGGCAGGTGGTGGCCATTGGCCGTTACCCTGAGTGGATACCCTTCCTGTTAACCTCAGACCACTGGTGCCAGATTCGAATACAACTGAGCTAGTTTGGGACCCTCATGGTCGCATTACTGCTGCATCATAGCAGCCTCCACTTGAAAGTAGCCATGTACTGTTCACATATATTGTAGTTCCCATTAGCAGTGCACAAGAACCTTAAGATTTTATATGTATACATATTCTGAAATTCATGTTATTCTATTATCATTTTCATAGTTTTTCACTTCGTAGCTTCTTTTATTCTTTTATTTCTTGTTATAATCAACTTTAGAAAACCTTACAATGAAAAAGCGAAATGCAAATAACAATGCACCCACACAATGTTAGCAATGAAAGTAGGAAATGAAAAATAATAGGACAAAAAATAATGATCCCCTTTACTAAGAGGTGTGAATATATTGGTTGTGACCAATACCACATTAAACATCATGAATATCCTGCTATTAATAAATTATGGTACTATAATGCACCAACTTCAAATTCCTTTGTACAGACAAAACAAAGCCTTCGTATAAACTTGCATCCTTTGTTTCCCTGCAATGTCCCTGGCATAACGCCTGCCCTCCCCACCTTTAAGAGTCAGTACTATAAATATGCCCTGACTGCAATGTGAATAAATACTAAGGTCAGTCAAAGCAAACCTTATCAGTCTCAGTCAGTCTTATGACGTCTCACTAAGGTCACGAGGAAACAGTTCAGTCACAGTCGATTATTACCTCATACAGTGCTTCCCTACAGACCAGCGTCCAGCATAAGCCTCGTACTGACCTTCTCCGGGGCTGCAAGAGGAACCCCCTGCCAAAACCCCCTCCGGAACAGGTGCAGGTGCAGGTGCAGGGGCATGTTGCAAGGCGGCCGTGCCATTTCCCTCCCCCGGGCTCACGTCTCGCCCCAGATCGGACCCGAGGGCATTGCACGCGGAGCACAAACATAGGAGGATAGCAAAGGACGTGGAGAGATGCGGCATCACAACATGGTCTCGAGATAAAGCGGGGGAATCAGAGGAGATGCGCGTGGATGCTGTGGCGTCTGTTTATACGAATCAGCTGACGGGACGACCTCCTCGCGGCCGCTCCGGGTCCCCGCGTAGCCGTCTCCAACGCGCCCTTTTCCTCCTGTCACCTCAATCAGGCTGAAAACCCCACGCAGTCGACAAATACACCTCTAGTTCACACGCAGCTCACCAACCGTTCGGAAACCTCTCGCGGGCGTCTGACAGCAGCAAACAGGCCTCTGACAGCAGCGAGTGTCCGAGGAGGCGGGCGAAGACGTCTGC